AGACATAGGCCTATTTAGCACTAATATTATTACTTTTAATATATTAGTAGCTTGGACACATCAAAGGTGAATACATCGAATTAGAAACAAATCATTAAAAAATCATAAAATCCCCAACTATCGAAGAGGAATAAAAACAGCACAGGTTGGGAAGAAAGTCACAAGCTGGCATTTTAGGGCGTCTATGTCACGATCTTTAAAGAAATGCATTTTCATTTTTCAGATGAATTTAAATTATTGGGAATGAAAACCAACCTAACCTTTACTGAAAATCTATCTTTATAAACATTTTTAACAATTGTTCGAGAAACAACTAAAGATAATTCCTTCTTAATTTAGTGACAAATGTTAAATATGATAAATGTAGGCGTGTAATCGATCGGCAAGAACTGAATGGGTATATTAAAAAAGGTTAAGTTTACCAACCTATAAAAACAACCGAAAAGTAGTATTTAGCATACCTGAACAAGTTGGTTCAATGCCTGTCCATGAGCCATCAGGACCACACGTTCGCCAGTTGTTTCCACTGCTGATACTATAACCGGGTAGACAGCTGTATGTTGCAATAGCGCCGTACGTTGTTTCATTAACGTCTACGGTAACGTTGAGAGGACTTCCTGGATGCTTACAATCGACAACTAATACAATAGAAACATTTAATTAGAAACGACTAGATAAATCGTATGTCTCCAGTTGGCAAAACTACACAGTAGGCCTTTAACAAACCTGGTTGGGACAGTCGAAAAGAAGCGGCCAATAGAGACATGGAGATCTTGATAGAAGTGCAGTTCAAGTCTACACATATTAGTAAAATTATTCTAAAATGACAGTCATTTACAAAATAATATTCTGAATAAGATTAATAAAATTAAAATATATTCCTACTCATAACTGCAACCCAAATTAATTGCTTATAAAGATATTTGATTGTCTGCAATATTTTGTGTTGTTTGCCTTATAAAATTAAGCCTAGACAGCTTCCAAAAAGCCACTTCTTTGCCTGTATTTCTGTGTAATTAGATAAATTGCGCAAGTTTCAATTATATGTGTGCATTTAAATCCATATTATTGTTATTTATCATTAAATTATTACCATGAAAAAGAAAATTTTGAAAATATTGGCATGTTATAGTGAATTCTAATCAGAACTTTCTCAAAGTGTAACACTAAATTACAGTTACGTAACTTACTCTGACATGTTGGTGTGCTATTTGACCATGTTCCATCTGACTGACATGTAACCATGGCAGTACCAATAAGGTTGTATCCATTGTCACATACGTAAGTTACAGTACTTCCATAAGTTTCGTCACTACCATTTTTTTCTCCATTGGTCGGTGTGCCTGGATCCCCGCAATTTACAACTAAACAAAAAAAAAAACAATCACATGAATTTGGCTACTGTATTCTAAAGCTGTCTCTTATACACATCTTATATATATATACTTATTTAGGAATATACAGTTATTTACTTTTATAAAAAGTGAGAGGTTAAAATTATCGGCATTAGTTTTACATTGCCTGAGGTAAGACAATGTTTACTTACGTTGACACGTTGGTGGGCTATCTGACCATGTTCCATTTGATTGACAAGTAACCATCGTAGAACCAACAAGGTTGTATCCAGTGTTGCATACGTAATTTACTGTGCTTCCATAAGTCTCGTCACTACCAGTTTTCTCCCCCCAGGTTGGTGTGCCTGGATCTCCACAATTAACAACTGCAAAACAAAACATAGAAATTTATCTTACGATTTAATATACCACATTCTCAGGAATAGATTAATAATAATAGACAGATAAAAATACAATGGTAGAAGCTATGTTACATAAAGGGTGTACGGTAAGAATGGCCCCGGAAAAATGGCCCAGGAAAAAATGGCCCCGATAAAAATGGCCCCGGTAAAAATGGCCCCGGTAAAAATGGCCCCGGTAAAAATGGCCCCAAATGACAGGTAGGTAAAAATGGCCCCAATATAATAAAATAAAATTCTGTATTAAAACTGATTCTTTTTTTTAAATCATTATATGCATTTTTTAAAACGGAAATAATTTAGTTTTTAAAAGGAATCTAACATCAAATAAATTGCCATTTTAACATTTTAAATTTTACTTTTTGCAGAAATTACATACTCAATGATAAAATATTCAAGGATAAAAAAAAAAAACCATGAATAACACTTTTTATTTTTTTTCCATTTAAATGTTAAAAAATAGCAACAACATAATCTATAAGTCAACATAAATCATGCATTTATTAATACTAAAATAATGGTGGTTTTGGGGATTTAGCAATACCATTTGATCCTACCATAATTACACAATTACACGCCATTTTAATTCTTAGCATAATTGTCATATTTACATAACTATGTATATAATATAGTATCTCAGTTTACATTATTTAGTATAGTTTTAGGCACTTAAATTTACTTGGCGGGGAGTAGAAACCAAGTATGCAATTAAATAAGTTGCTTAAATAAATGTATTCCTAATTATTCAGTTTACTATAAAAACAATATTTCATTAAAAAATACTTCTTTAAAGTAACTCTAAGCAGAACATTTGTTGAAATAAAGTAAGCCTGCCTTTTCCCATACATGAACTTGTCATTCAAACACACAATTGATCCACATGCTTTAACTACTGTTTATTTGCACTGTTTATAACATGTAAAGTTATTTCATTTGATACTTAACAAAAGTGAATTTTGTGGTTATCTATGAGTAGCATATTTTGGTAGTTGTCATTCCTCTACTTTGTTAGTGGAATAACGTTTTTAAAACTTATTTCAACTATCAAAAAATGTTCAATGGCCGTTGTTTTCTGATAATCTCTCAGTACATTTGCATCTGTAGTGTAACTGTATTTGTTATTGATTCAATTCTGCTTATTACAGTATTTAAATATTTGAA